TTTTAATAGGAGAAAAGGGAATAGGAGAAAGGAGGGAGGGGGATGACTGACAGGAACAGTAGAAGAGAGAGGCATAGAGAGAGAGACAGAGGGACGACAGAGACAGGCAGAGAAGCAGAGAAAAAAGAGAGGAAGAGAGAGACAGACACGGAGAGACAGAAAGAGATGAAGTGGGCAAGGCTCACCTTTTAAAGGGGAACACAGTGAATGTGCTCAGGAAGTGCTCTTAGTGGCTACAGCTGAGGAGGTTTCCTGTGAGGACCCCAAGGGCAGGTCAGTACAGATACGGGAATAGTAACAGATTTCAAATTCTGACAGTGCTGCTATGTTCCAGGAAGCAGACATGAACTTAGACGGCTGTGGGATTCTGGTTGGTTGTTTTGCTTAGCAACTTGCTACTGCTAATGGCATAAGAGGTTAAGTGCACCTCTCTTAAACCTACTGTGTTTGCCTTTAGTCTGTACTTCAGAAGACTTCAATTAGCACAGGCACTAAAAGTATAGTCTCTTTAAAGATCTCATGTGATTCTGTTATTCAGAACTCAGTGCCTGATTTTGACCTACTGGGACTTGAAACCTTAAACACCAGACCAAAAAGGATGTGCCTGTCAAGTTGGGAGCATAGATCCCAGGCCTGGTCTGGACTTTAAATCCCAGTAGGCCAGCTCCTGACCCCTCCTTGGGGATGGGGTCAGGACCCTTCCCCAGTGTATTTAAATGAGTTCCCAAAAGAGGAACAGGTGGTCCCTTTTCCTTCCTCCCGGTGGGTGTTTTTGCACAGCTTCCCGGTTTCCCCATCGGGGCCACCTGAGAGCGCAGAACTCCCATTAAACCTCGATATCTCTTAATCCGGCTTGTTTTGATTTGGCTTGATTGGGAATTTTGTGTCAGCAGGGAGCTCGCGTTAGGAAATATTTCTAACAGTGCCCATATCCTTTTCTTTCTTTGCTCTGATTAATAGGATACTATGTTTAGAATATTTACAAGTTGTAAGCATATCAACTTTAGAGATGTTGCTTAGGTCTGAGCAACGGAAGGGGTTAAGTCAGGCAAAGTGCACATGGACTCAGTGGTTTCCTCTTCTCAGAATAGAAGAGGCTCTGATTAACTTATTGATCAGTTGGTTGGTTGGTTGATTGATTGACTGATTTTTCTCTCTCTCCCTCCTGCAAGCACAGAGGCCAAAAGAGGATATTATATCTCCTGGATCCAGTGTTATAGGTGTCTGAGCTACTTAGCTTGGATGCTGAGCATCAAACTCAGATCCTCTGTAAGAGCACTAAGTCCTCTTGGCTACTGAGACATCTCCCCAGCCTTCCAGAGAACCTTCCATAACAAGTATTTTCTACCATTGTAGAATGGATTCTTCATAGTCTTGGTTCTTGTTTTATTCTAGTACCTGGCTCAAGAAGTACACTGGATTTTGCCATGTATTAGTAACAATTGTATGTGGTAACTAGACAACATTGTTTGACATTAACCATTTTTCCCATTAGTGGAAAAAACATTGACATTTTTTGTAGTAAAATAAGAGCCTTCTCTTTAAGAAGTGTGTAAAAGTAAAAGGTTGTCTTCAAACTCATCAAAACATTTAAAATCAAAGGTATCTGAGAACTCTGTCTTTCTGAGAATGGTGCCTCAGTTTAGGCATCTTCTCTGCCCTCGGGCAGCTGTTCTTTCTTGTTCCTTCACATTCTACACTCACATCTGTTTATTTAAGAGAAGATGAGTCACAGGACACACCGTCATATATTAGGCATTTTCATGACCTCTTCAGTCTTGATACAGAAGGGTCATCTCTTCAACGTTAATCTGCAAATGCAATTTCAAGCACCTGGCATTGATTTCAGAATAATTTTGGTCAATTGAAGAAGACAACAAATTACCTATCTTATGCAGATAAATAATGTACCAGGGTGTAATAAAGACTTACCTTGCTTAATCAAGCACCCGAGGAACATGAGTCTTTGCTACTGTTCTCTGAGCTAAATACTAATGAAGTAAAACAACCTTTTCATTTATGGCCCTTGCCACTCTATGCACAGAGTCACAGCACAAAGTCATGAGCCAAAGATAACCTTTAGATAATCTTCATGATTGTAGGCACAAAGCCACGGCTTCCCAGTGTGGAGGAACTCATTCTAGCCAAAGGAAGTTATATTTGGCATGTTGAAGAGTGAGCTTTCTGTACTCTCACGTTCACTGTGACAGTATTTAAAACAGTCAGGATATGGAAATGTAATACTTTGAATGGAATTCCCCTCCCCCCCCAATAATCTCATAGGGAGTAACACTATTAGGAGGTATGGCTTTGTTGAAGTGGGTATGGCATTGGAGGCAGTGTGTCACTGTGGGGGCAGGCTTTGAGGTTTCCTATGCTTAGGATTCTGCCGGGGGTCTCAGTCAATTTCCTGTTGTCTGCAAGATGTAGCATTCCTGGCTCCAGCACCACATCTGCCTACACACTGCCATACTCCCTGTCGTGATGATAATGACTGAACCTCTGAAACTGTAAGTGATCCACCCCCAATTAAATGTTTTACTTTATAGTAGTTGCCATGATCTCAGTGTCTTTTCACAGCAATAAAAGTCCTAACTGAAAGACTGAAAGCAATTTAATGTCCATCAATATATGAATAAAGAAAATACAGTGTTTATGTAATATTATATATATAAAAGCACATACACACATGTACATACACCATGGTATGCACAAGCACACACATTTACACACAACGAATGCACAAGCACATAAACATGTACACACTAGTGAAATGCACAAGTGTACACACACACACACACGCACACACACACACACGCACACACACACACTAGAATACTAGCCAGTCTTTAAAAGGAGAAGATTCTGATATTTCCAGCAACATGAATATGTCTGAAGGCTCTAATAGGAAGCAAAACAGCCTGGACACAGAGAAAATATCATAGGATTTCATGTATTTGGAGAACCTGAAAATGAACTCGGGAATCAAAGACCTGAAGGGTTATACCCAGGTTGCAATGGAGTGAGGGACTGAGGGGTTATGTGTCTAAGGATACATAACTTGAGTGTTTACTCTTTTTTATTTAAATGAATTGCATTTTTAATTAAAGTTTTGCTTTTATTAATTTTTAATTACATGTGTGTTTTCCTACAAGTGCATGGATATATATATATATATATATATCCAGAGGCCAGAAAGGGCATCAGATTCCCTGGAGGTGGAATTCCAAGCAGTTGTGAGTCACCTATATGGATGCTGAAAACAATACGGGTCCTCTGAAAGGGCACCAAACACTTATTTCCAAATCATTCCTGCAGCCCATTAAATTTAATGTAAAGACAGAGGCTACTGCAAGGGAATCAGAGAAGCTTTCTAGGAGATCCTGATTAGATTATGATCTGTACAAATAGTTGAGCGCAACAATGCAGCAGCCTACAAGTATCTCAGGAACTTCTGGATTCAGGATGCGATAGAATTTCTATTTAAAAAATTCATCCAGTTCAGAAATGATGCAAACTGTGGCATGCTCTAGTGTTTTCAACAGATGAGGCCAGAATGCCGCCGGCCTTGGGTTGGTGTTCCATTTGTGGGCTCCATACTCTGCTTTGCAAAACTGGCCCAACAGTTCCTGAAGAGGAAAGGCAGAAGTGGCACTTAGTTTTACAAACCTTTAATAAATCCCATCCTGATTTCCAATCTTAAGTCCTGGCACTAGGTATCTAAAGGGAGGGGCGGTGGACAAATGAGAATGCCTGATGCCTGCTGTACTTCGGTAACATCTAAGAGTCTCAGTCAGGGTTCCTCTGAAGCCCCACCCCATACAAAAGTGCAATTACCAGCAAAGAGGCAGCCACACTGTAAATCAGAGAAAATTTTCTTACTTGCTAAGTCTAAGATTCTTCTCTGAGATAGGTGATGGGGTAATGTTGTGAGAAAGGGGGGCCAAGGTTATGTAGTCTTTAGTTGGAACCCCCATTTCCCAGTTAGTGTCGAGCTGATGGTACCCATGCTAACTAAAACAAGGCTCAATGGGACTGTAACACTCCTGTGGTTTCTGCTCTCACTGGATGAAGATAGTGTGAGTCTACTGGTATGGACTGATGTGGTTTGTACATGGAATGTTCCAGAAAGGCTCCCACTTCGACGGGTCTGGAGGCTCCCAAGAGTTCCAACCTCTGAGTTTTCTAACATGATGGCCTCACCGGAAAGTGGTGGAAACTTGTGGATGAAGTAGATCACTGGACGGACGTACTTGGGGATGCGACCTTGTCTCAGGCCATCCTTCGCCTCACTCCTGCCTTCCTGGACTCCATGACATGAGTGTTCCCTTCAGCATGTCTCTCTGCTGCCACAATCCCAGAAAATACACAGCCAACAAATCACAGCTGACACCTGAGCCCATCAGTCAAAATCCACCCGCCCTCCTTCATGATTTCTCTCAGGTGTTTGTCACAGCAAGGGAGAAGTGTCAGGGAGCTGGGATGGGATGGGGGGAATGAAAGCAGTCATGACTCAGTCCACTGGCTCTGACCCTGACAGAGAAAAGGGACAAGAAGAAGAAGCTGAGAGGGGGCTTTTCACCACGGGAAGTCATTACTTGAAAGCAAGCTAGAGATGACAGACATTTTCTTGCTCCTTCACTCACACAAACACACCCAAGACACTCAGAGTGCCAACCCAAGCAGGGACCGGAGACATACATAAGCAGGCTTGTGGTCAAACAATGTTCTTATGTAGGGTTGGAGCAAGATGAAGAGCAGGTCAAGTGCCAGCATTTTACAGGCTTGCTTGTTAGCACTTAGGGCAGCTTTGTTGGGGATTATCACTTACCTTGGTGAATATATGAGAAAAGATGTGAGAAATCACAAGAGACCAAATCACCTCTCTTGACTGATGCTGAAGGAGTGAAATGGGAAGCCAAGGGACCCAAGGCAGGAGGGCACACGTGTGCCAACCGCACTACCAGGGTCACATTTACTGTTACAACTTCTTTGCTAACAGACACAAGTTTACATTTCATCACAGAAGCCTTAGTCACAGTCCAGTCTGTTCAAGGTTGTATAAGGCACAATGATGCTATTTTCCTTCAGAGAAGTATCTGAGGCCTAGGAATGTCATGTGACCTAGCTCCTCTCTAGAAATGGAGGAAGAGTGCAGGCATTTCTGGGTTCCTTCCCACATTCCCCTCTCCAGAAATATCAGCATCACAGGTTTCATGTCTGATTCATAAATTGTCACATCCTCGTATAGCCTTAGGGAGAGGAATGCCATTTCCTGAACATGTGGTCTAGCTATGTCCTATAATCTATCCAGGGTCTCTGACTGGGTTCTTGCCTTGAATTCCTGTCTGGGCTTCCCTCAGCAATAGACTGTAACTTGTTAGCTATATAGACCCTCAAGTTGTTTTAGTCTGTGTTTTGTCCCTGCAACAGGAAGGGAAACAGGATAAAAGTCAAGATCAAGTGTGTCCCTGTGCAGATATCAGACATCAAATATAAAAAGAACAGACACTTCAGGCTGCAAAAGAATTGATGCCACTCTTTATTATTAGTACTGAAGTCTAAGACAGTGAGAGGACAGTAAAATTTCTATTCAGCCAGAACACTGCTCAATGTTCTATCGTGTGTTATTTATTAACAAATAAATTCAAATGCTGTCTACTGCTTGACTTAAGTGCATACAAAACCCTTTAATATTTAAAGTAACAGGGAACATTGTTACAGCTAAAATAACTCAAGGATGGAAAACTCACCCATTTGAGGAAATTGGCTGCTTTGAATAATTGCAGAAGCAAACCCAAGAGAAGCATCCTATGAGGGTGATTAACGAATTGCTACCATGGGAACTATTTTTAAGAAATAGAAAGAGATCTAGGCTGTTTGCCAGGTTCCTGTATCTATGTCTACAGCTGGTCCTCTCTCGGAGATCTTTTGGATCCAGCAATTCAGGTGCTAACATTTGAGAGCAGGGTTCCAGTCTGTGCTCAGTCCATGATGCTGTTAAATACTTTGAATGGACTTGGTAATGGTTCAGTTTCCTTATAGCAGTTGTACTACGAGCATCGTCTCACTCCTATCCATCACCTTCCTCATGCAAAGATGCTGAAGGAGCAGCCTTCTCAGAGTCCAGCACCTTCTCAGAGTCCTTAACAGCTTGCTGGCCTTCTTCACTCAATTCCCCCGAAGAAACCCCAAGATGTGCAAGGCCACAGAATCAAATTTATTTTTTCTAAGTCGTATTTGGGCAATTTTTTGAAGTTTGCTTTTCATTTTTTCTTTAGATTTCGTCTCCTGCCTTATTTTCACACCCTCCATAAAATGATGGATGGCCTTGTCTTCACACTTCATTTGATACAACTGAAAATTGCCATACTGTAGGTGGAGCAATTGTTTGTTGCTTGGTGTGAGAACACTCTTGAATTCTTTCTGGAAGTAATATTCAGCTTCTTCATACTGCTTTGCAATGGCATAAAGTCCAGCAAGGTAGCTACAGGAATGTTTCAGCATCGCCTTGGTCTCCTCTGCTATCCTTAAGTACTTAATTGCCAGCTTTGTTAGTGCCTGTAACTTCTCTTGATTCCTGTTCAATTCAGCTTCTTTTGTGTCAGCTATTTCTAGGACTTTTGACCTATAGCAGCACCCCATATAGTAATTCACATAGGCATTATTTGGCAGGCATTCTAAAGCCTTTGTAAGCAGCTCTATAGCTCTCTTCTTGTCATGTGTCTTGTAATAAAACTTTCCAGCACTGAGCAGCACATCTGTCGCACCTGACGCTTTCCTTAAGGCTTCTTCAACTAGTTTCTGTCCTTGGTTTTCATGCAGTCTCTCAAGCTTCAGTGCCAAGAGGACCTTAAGATAAGAGTTGTCAGGAGACAATCTAATAACTTGTTTCAAGGAACCAATAGAGTCCTGCACTGCTGGCCAGTAGTCCAGACGGTAGCTTGCCATGGCCAATCCAGAGGTGAATTCTGGGTTCTTCGGGTCCTTTTCCAGAGCCTTCTCAAAACACACCTTCACTCTCTCATTTTGGTTATGGGTGCACTTTAATCGGGCCCATCCTTCCTCACAGTCAAGCTCAGGACTCTCGATCCTATAGGGACTGGAAAACTTCTCACAGACCCCTCTCACCTTATCAAGATAAGCCTGTGCTTTTGAGAGTTGGCCCATGTGATAGTAAACCCAAGCGTAGTTTCCCCAGGTGACCAGACTTCTGATTTCTACTTGGTCAGGATGCTGTTTCTTGATGAAACGTTCAGCATCCTCTAAACACTCCAGTGCTGCCCTGTTTTGGCCTCTGAGGTGGTTGATGTAGGCCTGGATGTTGCACATTGTGGCTTTACACTCACTGTTCTGAAATTCAACCTTGTTAAACACCCTGTTCTCAAACTCATCCACGGTCTCCTCTCTCTTTTTCAAGCTCCAGGTGAAATGGCATTTTAGCTGCTGGAGCCTGCTCTCCAAGGATTTCTCTATGGTTGTGCTGTGGGACAAAAAAAAAAAAAAAAACAGTCATTTGTGAGACACCACGCGTTCATCTGTCAAGGAGTGGGATCACAGTGAATATTCCTTTCCTTCTAAAGAGTGTTCATCTAAACATAACCAAGGCACACGCTTCCCTTTCTTTTATTTCAGTATTTGTCTTATGTCTGAATTACTTATAATGATACAAGAGTTTGCTCATTTTAGGCAGAAAAACTGACAGAATTAAGTAAGTCAGTCCTAGATGGCATTTGGGTTTTCTAGAAAGACTGTTTCTGTTAGCTAGCTCCTGCCTTTGTGTTGGAGGGTCTGTGGACCCCAGCACAGTAAGTGTTATTCCTGGAGCTTTTCATTTAGAGGTAGGAACTGAATTTCTTCTTACAAAATCACACCACAATTCTTCACAGACCTTGAACGAATAATACTCAACTTCATATGGAAAAACAGAAAACCCAGAATAGTTTCAACAATCCTGTACAATAATGGATCATCCAGAGGCATCACCATCCCTGACTTTAAACTCTACTATAAAGCTATAGTTACAAAAACAGCTTTCTATTGGTATAAAAACACATACAAGGAGCATTGGAATCGAATCGAAGACCCTGACATTAATCCACACATCTATAAACACCTGTCTGTTTTTTTTTTTATAAAGACACCAACCTAGTACAGTGGAAAAAAGGAAGCATCTTTAACAAATGGATCTTGCATAACTGGATGTCAACATGTATTAGATTACAGATAGATGCATAACTATCGCCATGTGCAAAACTCAAGTCCAAATGGATCAAGAACCTCAATATAAATCCAGTTACACTGAACCTGATAGAAGAGAAAGTGGGAAGTAGCTTTGAACTCACTGACACAGGAGACTACTCCCTAAATAAAACACCAGTAGCACAGACACAGAGAACAAGAGTCAATAAATGGGACTTTCTGAACTGGAAAAGCTTCTGTAAGGCAAAGGACACGGTAAATAAGACAAGATGACAGCCTACAGAATGGGTAAAGATCTTCAGAAACCCTATACCTGACAGAGGGCTGATCTCCAAAATATATAAAGAACATAAGAAAGAACTAGATATCAAAATAGAAAATAATCCAATTGAAAAATGGGGGACAGAACTTAACAGAGAATTCTCATGAGAAGAATCTCAAATGGCCAAAAGACATTTAAGGAATTGGTCAACATTCTTAATCATCAGGGAAATGCAAATCAAAATGACTCAGAGATACCGTCTTATACCTGTCAGAATGACTAAGATCAACCATACTGAGGACTTCTTATGTTGGAGAGGATGTGGAGTCAGGAGAGCACTCCTTTACTGCTGATGGGTGTGCAAACTAGTACAGCCACTTTGGAAATCAGTATGGCAGTTTTTCACAAAATTGGGAATCAATCTACTTCAAGACCTGGCAATACCACTTCTGGGCATATATACCCAAAGGATACTCAATCATACCGTAAGGACTCTTGCTCAACAATGTTCATAGCAGCATTATTCATAACAGTCAGAAGCTGGAAACAACCTAGATGCCCCTCAACTGAAGCATGGATGGTATAGGAGGTACTTTTGTTTATGTGTTGCTTTGATTGGTTTAATGAATAAAGAAACTACCTTGGCCTTTGATGGGGCAGAACTTAGGTAGACAGGGAAAACAGAATTAAATGCTGGGAGGAAAAAGGGTGGAGTCAGAGAAGCCATGGATCCTCTGCCTGAGACAGACACTGGTTAGAATCTCTGGTAAGCCACTGCCACATGGTGATACACAGATTAATGGAGATGGGTTAAACTAATATGTAAGAATTAGCCAATAAGAAGTTATAGCTAATGGCCAAGGAATGTTTTATTTAATACAGTTTCTGTGTGGCTATTTCAGGTGTAAGCTAACTGGGCAGCCAGGACAAACAAGCGGACCCTTCACTCCTACAAATGGATAAAGAAAATGTGGTATATTTGCACAATGGAGTTTTACTTAGGTGTAACAAAAAACTATGACATCATGAAATGGAACTAGACAGGCAAAAGGATGGAACTAGAAAAAAAATTCTTAGTGAGGTAACCCATATTCAGATAGAGAAACACAGTATGTACTCACTCGTAAGTAGATTTGTGACATAAAACAAAGGATAACAGAGTATAATCCTCAGTTCCAGAGAAGCTAGGTAACAAGAAAGACACTAATAGGTACACATGGATTTCCCTGGGAAAGGGAAGTAGATGAGTAATTCCTGGGTAAACTGCAGGCAAGGCTATATGGTAACAGGGAGGGGATGGGTGATGAGAACATGAGGGAAAGGGATGGTTGAGGGGGAGAGGGTTAGAATGGGAGAGCAATGAAAGAGAGATCTTGATAGAGAGAGCTACTATGGGGCAAGGGAGAAACTTGGTGCTAGAGAAATTCCCAAGAGTCCACAAAAATGACCTTAGCTAATACTTCCAGCTAATACCATTCAAGAGAATGCCCAAACTGGGCTTCCTCTCTAATCAGATTGGTGAATATGTCAACCACCATCATAGAGCCTTCATCCAGTAGGAACTAGACCCAGACTTCTACAACCAATCACCAGGCCAAGCTCCAGGAATCTAATCAAAGAGAAAAAGGAGGGAATATATGAACAAGGGAGGTCAATATCATAATGGAGAAATCTAAAGAGACAGCAGAACCAAGCTTGTGGATACTCAAGAACTCTAGACTGACAGCTGTGGAACCTCCCTGGGACCAAACTAGGCCCTCTACTGTGGGAGACAGTGGTGAAACTTAGACTATCTGAGGGGCCCCTGGCAGTAGGAGGACCAGGATCAGTCCCTGGTGCATGAGCTAGCTTCTTGGAGCCCATTCTCTATGGTGGGATGACATGCTCAGCCTTAATGCAGAGGGGCTTGGTCTTGCCCCAACTCAATATAGCAGACTCTGTTGACTCCCATTGGGAGCCCTTACCCATTGGGAGGAATGCTGGGGAGAGGTGAGGGGTGGGAGGAGGGGTGCAACAGAGAACTATCGTTGAAATGTAAACTGAAATTTAAAAAATAAATTAAAAAAAATCACCACTTCTTTACTCTTAACTTCTTATCCACCATTGAAATTTGAAAATCTTTTTTTTTGTTTTTGTTTTTGTTTTTGTTTTTCGAAACAGGGTTTCTCTGTAGCTTTGGAGCCTGTCCTGGAACTAGCTCTTATAGACCAGGCTGGCCTCGAACACACAGAAATCTGCCTGCCTCTGCCTCCCGAGTGCTGGGATTAAAGGCGTGCGCCACCACCTCCTGTCGAAATTTGAAAATCTTAACTACATGTTTGTGTTCTATTGACATTCACAGAGATGAGTTTAAATTCTCTGTTATCTTAGAAACTCAAATCCACTTTATTTCTTTCAGTTCTCTTTTAAAAGCCAATTGTTTTCTATTTCCCATTATTCTAAATTTAAAAAAAATTAAGGAAGAATAATTTACTTTGATTTGTGACATAAAAGGGTTCTGTCCATCTTGACAGAGAAGGATTGATGAATTCTATGACAGCAGAAGCATGTGACTGGACCTCCTCACTTCCCAGGGAATCAGGAAGCAAAGAGTAGGGATGGCGGGACTCATCTGTTTCTTTTCTTTAGCTACAAGATTTTTAAGAAGTATGTGTCTATGTCTATGTAGGGGTATGAGCATGCCAGTGTGGTGTCCACAGAGGCCAGCAGAGGGCACTGTATCCACTGGAATTGGAACTACAGTTAGTTGTGGGTCATCTGATAAGGGTTCAGGGAACAGAACTCTGCTCGTCTAGAAGAGCAGTATTTGTTTGTAATAGGCAATCTGTCTCTCCATCCCCAGTCCAATTTTTAATATACCTTTAATGTGCTTTCTTTATTTAGTCTAGCTTCTTGAAATTTTATCACATTAGTTGTGTCTTTTATTTAAATATTTTTACTCTCTTCTGCTGTTGGATTACTCTGCTAACCATTTATTGTTAAAAGATAGTTACTACCTTTGTTTTAAATTCTTTTATTTTGCATCTTGTACTTTGCATTGGATGCCCCTTCCCCTGCCTTCTTCTCTCTGTTTCATTGCGCTCATTCCTGTCTCAAAGCCTCCATGTGATGTGTTCCCACTTTCACTTTATGTCACCTGTGCTCTGGTGCCTCCCTCCCCCTCTCTTTTATATCACCTGTGCTCTGGTGCCTCCCTCCCCCTCTCTTTTATATCACCTGTGCTCTGGTGCCTCCCTCCCCCTCTCTATTATATCATATGTGTTCTGGAACACTCGCTCTCCCTACCCTCTTTTAATGCCTCTTTTCTGTCTTTTCCTGATTCAGACTCTATTTCTAGTTCCCTGACATCTACACACGTTCATATAATTATACATTTGTAAAGCTAAGATTTACAAATGAAAGATGAGAGAGAACATGCAATGTTTGCCATTATGAACCTGGATTTTCTTACTTAATATTTTCTAGTTCCATCCATTTCCCTGCAAATTGCTTAATATCATTTTGTTCTTTAATAAGGCATTTTTTTGGTGGGGTGCATGGCAGCCTGGGAACAACATTATGGGGCCCAGGCCATGTCAAACACAGGGAAGCCTGTCCACACATAGGGCCCAGGCCGCATAGCTGCCTTGGTTCCAGGAAAAGCCATAACATGACACCACCCAGGAACAGAGCATCCAAAAAAAATTCCTAACACTCCAACCATTGTAGATAGGATTACCTGCCAGCATACACGCATTGTGTTTCGCCAGGACACACCTGGACAAATGTCAGCCAATCAGGGGTCCTGAGCCTTAGAAATCCCTCTCCTCTACCTTTGCTACTATAAAAACCCAACCCCAACTAAGTTCGGGGCTCTCTGATCACTCCAATATATTGGACACTTGGAGCATTGGAATTTGCAAACTTGTGTAAGAATAAAAGCTCTTTGCTTTTACATACAGCACTCAGGGTCCTAGTTGGTTTGCGGGGGGGCATGTCATCTGGACATAACAATATTAATTAAAATATAACTGCATCACTTCTCTCTTTCCCTGTTTTCCCTCCAGCAAATCATGTGTCTCCTCCCTCCAAGTTCTCCCATGCTCCCCATCTCTCAAATTAACAGCCTCTTTTTCTTTGAGGTTTTTTTTAAACATATTTTTGAATATATATTCACAAATCTACAAATACAATCCACTGAGTCCATCCTTTGCTGTTTGTGTGTATGTGGTTTTTGGGCTGAACACTAAGTAACCACTTAGGTAGCTCATCCTTAGGACAGGCTTGCCCTTTAATTTTTTCTTTTAATGACTAAATATGTACCACATCCTCATTATTCATTCATCACTGTTGGACATCTAGGTTGATTCTATTTCCTTGTTCTTTTGAAGAAAAAAAACATGTTTGTTTGCAGCAAACATGGATGATTTGTAATAAGATTAAAGTTCTTTGGATATCTGCTCATTTTAACTGCTTACGTCTTATTTTTAATCATTCTTGATTTTTACCCATTCTACCAACTTTGGGATATCTCATCTATTAATTGTATTATATATGCTAGCAATGCCTCAAACCTTTATTTCACAATAAAATGCAGTCTCCGTACCCCTACCCCATTTCTACTTCTTACATTGGTGATGTCTCATTTTGATAGCTTACTCATACTTTCACATTATTTTTTTAATTTCCCTTTGAATTTTATTCTCTCAGGTTTATAAATTTTACGCCAGGGATAGGAAGTGTGGCTGCCGGAGAGGCTTATAGGCATTTAGTGCCTTTTCTGTAGCAGAGAACTCTTCTTTTCTCCCTCAGGGTACCATTGTGACTCTTAAAGATTTTTTTTTTCATCCATTAAAATTCTCTTTAGACGCACAGACAGAAAAAGAAGTAAGCAGGAAACAAACTAACCCAGCACAGAAGCTTCTGGAATACTGTGCATTCTCACTTACTTTTTCCATGCTGTTTATAAATCTGCTGTGTATGGTAATATTGCAGTTTCTCACTTGAACAATTGATAGCTGGAAAGCCACATAAAGTGACAAAGATCATGTCTGAACCGTACTGATCGTACTCAGCCCGTCTCTTAGGCTTTTCAGCCTTACACCTTGCAACCAAACATGTTTTTGTTGGGCCAGAGATAGAGTTACCAGATAGAAGACACAGCTGAGAGGCAGTGTGTGGGAGAAGTTCCGTCCTTCCAGTGCTCTCTTTAGTTAGCAATGAACCTGCAATTCTGAGATTAATCGAGCAATTGCAAGTAAAATTCAGATGAGGGAGAAGCAGCATTAGTAATCTAAGTACATTTTTAAAAGTAAAGAAATCATAAAAGAACGCTGTTGAATAATATTTTTATTAGATACTCTCAATTTAATTTTGCAACCGGGCGGCAGGGAGAGGAAGAGAGAGAGAGAGAAAATTCACAAGAACAATTCTCCCAGATCTATCTTTCTAAGAAGTCCCTGCTAGATCAAACAGCTCTGTGATGTCAGCTCTCAGCTGCCAGATAAGCAGATCTGGAGGAAGCCACAGGGCATCTCTATGACATATTGATAGCTGTAGAGACAGAGATGTGAAAAGTAAAAATAGGACTGGCCTCTCTTGGGACCTTGGCTGCTTAGGATTTGCATCTGTTATCAAGGCTGACTGCATTCTCCTCACCAGCAGAGAAAGGGAGGGCATACCTCATGGTTGCTGTGCCTCTCAGTTGTGTGGAAGGGCTCAGAGCGGCTGCAGGCAGCTGCAGACAATCTCGTCCTCCGACTCCTAAGGAAGAGCTACAGACCCTTATATATCACCAGCAGCTGGTTTCTTTTCCTGTTTCTCTGCAGCTGGCCCCACAGAAGAGAAATCGAAACCAGAAAGTAAAACCCAAAAGAAACATCCCATAGTATAAACCCTTTACTACTCTTGAAAACAGAATTACAGAATATATAGACCTAAAGGTGCAAAGGTCATAACACAATTCCACATGTGTTTTCCAGGTCACACCAAGACCCACTGCTAAAAGTAGATTCTCACCTGCTTCATTTCCTTCTGTCCTCACTGACAAATCAAAATGTTTAAAGTGATTTTTCACATGAACTTCAGCAGTTAATGTAGCAGTGAAGCAGCTTGGCATCTCTGTCTCCTTCATCAGCATGTACTTTAGTTTGATTAAATGTCTTTCCCGAAGGTCCATGTCCCAAAGTCTTGGTTGACAGCTGATGGTACTAATGGTTTTAATGATAGTAATTAGGTCATTGATGGCATGTCTCTGAAAGGGATTTGGAGGAACTAGCCTCTTCCTGTCTCATTCCTTAGGTCCTGGTCACCACGTGACAGGAGCTTTCTCTGCCCTGTTCTCTCTATTGTAATGTGTTTGCTGTAGGCCCAAGTGACCAAGTACTGAAACCTCTAACACTGTGAGCCAAGATAAATCTTTTCTCTTTTTATGTTAGTTGCCTCAGGTATTTTGTTATAATTACATAAATTTAACTAACACAGAAATAAACTCAGCATTATTTCTTTTGCTGTGGTTCAAATGTATCCCCTGAAGTTCCTGTGAGAAACTTGATCCCCATGTGCCAATGTAGTGAATGGGGCATCTGGTGGGTGGTAGGATGCTGAGTCATAGGAGCCAATGACCCAGCATGAATGGACCAATACTGTTACCATGGCAGCAGGTCTCCCTAGGAGAGCAGTTGCTTCTTTCTGGCTCTTTCATCTTCTTTGCTTTTCCACCTTGAGATTTCCCACCAGGAAAGCACTTGGCACTCCCTCATCTCCTACATCCTGGCTTCTTAACTGTGGGGAAGCAAACTTCTCTTCATTATGCATTACCCACTCCATGGCACTCTGAGAGAAAAGATGAAAGGACTACGGGTCTTCTTTTCCAAAGATTAAAACAATTGTGTGTGTTTCTGGGTACACTTGTGTCTGTGTGAATGCCAGTGGAGTCCAGAAAAGGGCATTGCTTCCCCTGGAGCCAGCATTGCACTTGGTGCTAGGATCAGAATGCTGGTCATCTGTAAGAGCAGGAATCACTCTTAACCACTGAGCCATTGCTCCAGTCCACTAACAAATTCCCTTAACAGTAAAATTTGTGATTTCAGATGAGCCGTCTTTGACTACGAACTTAACACAACGAAGAGACTTCTCTACAGCCCTAAGCAGAAAATAAACTTAGAAATAAATTTAAGATGGAGCAGTTGACCTCTGTTCCTGATAGAACACTAAGAGTATTTGTTTCATTCATTCATTCACCATTCATTCATATAATCGATAAATGTTTATTGAGTAAAATGTGCTAGGCACTTTGCAATTGCATTCTAGGCATTTGGAGTGCATGAGTGCACAATGTCTCTGACTTCCTGGATCTTATAATCTACCAAAAAAGCAAGACAACACACAGAACCGTTATGGAATGAATTATGCCCATCTTCTCTCTCTAAAATTCACATGTTGAGTACTTAGTCCCTGGTGATATGCAAGGGGTAACTGATGATGTGACAGCTCATTGGTATGGTTGAGTTTTTTATTGTAAATGTGAAAGAGGAGAGAGAGAGAGAGAGAGAGAGAGAGAGAGAGAGCAAAAGAGAGAGAAAGCACAGCTCGAGACATATGGAAGAATCTAGAGCAGAGACAGAAGGGAAAAAACTAACCATGGCCAACTAGGGAAGTGGGAGATCAGGAAATAATAGTGGAAATATCAAGATACAGCATAGTAAATGAAGCAATTGAGAGTGAGGGAATAAGAGAGAGAACATAGATAACAAGAGATAGAGATAGAACGGGATGATAGATAGACAGACAGACAAATAGCTGAGGATAGTGAGATTAGAAGAGCAGAAAATAATGTCAACAGCCAGGTTAAGAAAGATGAGTAGCCTCAGGAGGGAAGCTTGTCAGCTGGAGGGGGCAAGAGAAGAAGAGGAGGTGAGAAGGGCTAGGATGAGCACATGGACTCTGAAATATATATATTTCAGGGACCGTGATAGTGATGGAGCTTAGAGACCAACAGGAGCTTTGATACGCTGATGGTGCCATTGATAGCCACATATCCCTTCTGCCAGGTGAGGGAAATGACTGCTTTTGGCAGATAGGAACTGGTTTCACAAGTTCCTGAGGAATTTCTTTTAGCTAGCTACCAGAAATCCTCCTATAATCTAGGTTAAGCTCATTTCTTGATAGATGATCTTCCTCTTGAATCTTAGGGAATTGGAGCTTCCTTTGGACCTGACACCAATGTATCTATGTTTGAGGTAGACTTTTAAATAATCGACTGAGATTAGACGAGATAGCGACATGAAAGGGAAAACTGTAATCAGAAAATCAGTCATCACAACAAATGCGACAAGAATCATTTGTATAGTTAAAAAGCTATGCTGGTTAAGAAAATTATAACGTGAATAAGAAGTGTAAAATCTAACAACACATAATAATCAAGGAAATGCCCATTGTGTGAACAGTATTTTAGTGCTACTTAAAACTGTGCAGTGACACGTCTTCTAAAAACTCAGTGATATCAAGGATGTAGCAAATAAGGGACTTTCACAAGACTGTGTCTGAAGGATTTGTGATACAGACCTTGGGGTGATACAGGGTAGGGGCTTTTTAGCATGAAAGTGGAATCTTAGGAATGTGTAGATCAAATATTCAGTCAAAGGTTGTGTGTGTGAGTTCTCTCTCTCTCTCTCTCTCTCTCTCTCTCTCTCTCTCTCTGTGTGTGTGTGTGTGTGTGTGTGTGTGTGTGTGTGTGTGTGTATGTGTGGCTTGTGTTTAATGTGACATGGTCCTGTTTTTTTGGGAACTCCCTATGTAATGCAAGTTAAATTTTGAACTCACGATCCTTCTTCCTTAATACCTGGAGATCACAACCATGCACCATCATGACGAGCTTGTACTGTTTTTTGTTGTCTCAACATGACTAGAAAACAGTTTCCAGTTATTCAAGCAAACATTAATCTTAGAGTTATCCAGTATGTGTGTAAATGTGTATGTGCTTGTGTGAGTGCATGCATGTGTGTGCATCTATGCATATATGTACATATGTGTGTGTTGGGAAAAGCTATGTGTTAGGAAACCAATATATAATAGCTAAAATTTAAAAGAATACGGGTCACTAATATGCTCACATTATGTAATGGCATAAGGAACAGAAGAGTCACTGAGTGAGTTTTTCACTGAATGGAGACTGGAGAGTAGAGAACAGGGTCAGATGGAGCAGGTAGGTCTGTTATCCTAGCTACAATGAAGCTGAGTATTTTTAGTAATTAAATAATGCAAAAATTGAATCAGCTGCAAAATAAATAAGGGTTGGAAAAGGAGAAAAGAAGTAAGAAATAAAGAAAGAAGAAAAGAGAGGAGAAAAGAAGACAGGAGGTGGATGGAAAAAAAGGGAAAGATGGGCAAAGCAAATGGAAAGAGACAAACCGTGGTATGTTCAGATACGACAACTGTCAGGTCCAAAGGGAAAATCCCCAAGCACCCCAACAGGGCAGGCTCACTGACCTGGTCCAAGATGACAGTCTTGACTCAGCTGGAGCTAGACTATTGCTGGCTGAGAGATAAAAGCTCACAGGCAGCATTCCACTGAAACCTCTGAACAGGGTTTTCTGTTGCCAAAAGGAGCCACTTTCATTATCTTCCCTTGCCTCTGGAAAATGAACATCTGACTTTGTTGTCATATAGCTGTGGTTAGACATCAAAGCAAATATCAAACTCTGGGCTCCTCTGGTCCCTAGTAGCATGTCCCTGTTGTTAACTATCAAAGCCTCAAGCACCCTGGCCCTTCTCACCCCTTCCACTCTGCTAGTTCCCCAGCTGATCCAGATCACAGCTCATTTCAACATAGTTCTGGAAGTTCTGGCTAGAGCAATAAGATAACAAAAGGAGATCAAGAGGAATAAAATTGGAAAGGACAAGGTTAAACTTCAGCTATTTGAAGATGATATGATATTATAAATAAGTGACCCCAAAAACTCTACCAGGGAACTCCTACAGCGATAAATACCTTCAGTAATGTGGCAGAATACAAGATCAACTCAGAAAAGTCAGTAGCCTTTCTGTATACAAATGATAAAGAAGCTGAGAAAGAAATTAGAGAAGCACCACCCTTCACAATAGCCACAAATAACATAAAGTATCTTGGGTTAACACTAACCAAAGAAGTAAAAGACCTGTTCAACAAGAACTTTAAGTCTTTGAAGAAAGAAATTGAAGAAGATACCAGAAATGGAAAGATCTCAGATGCTCTTGATTAGCATAATAAACATGGCAATCTGTAGCTTCAATGCAGTCCCCATCAAAATCCTAACACAATTCTTCACAGACCTTAAGAACAATACTCAACTTCATATGGAAAAAACAAACAAGCAAGAATAGCCAAAACAGTTGTATACAATAAAGAAACTTCTGGAGGCATCACCATCCCTGACATCAAGGTCCATTATACAACTACAGTAATGAAAACAGCCTGGTATTGGCATAAAACAGACACATTGACCAATAGAATCAAGTCGAAGACCCACATATTAATCGACACACCTATGAATACCTGATTTTTGATAAAAAAAAATAGCTAAAATTGGGGAAGAACAGCATCTTCAACAAATGGTGCTGGCATAACTGGATGTCAACATGTAGAAGATTGCAAATAGATTCATATCTATCCCCGTGCACAAAACTCAAATCCAAATGGATTAAAGACCTCAATTTAAATCTGACCATAATGAACTTGATAGAAGAGAAAGTGGGAAGTAGAAGTCAATGCATGGGCACAGGAGACCACTTCCTAAATATAAGATCAGTTGCACAACACTGA